TGATGAAGCAGATTACATGCACCAAACTAATACAGAGGGCTGGGGGATCAGCTCACTGAACCAACACAGATGGTGTGGTTTGGTTGGGTTTTTTTGTTTTGTTTGTTTGTTTTTTTTTTAAACAAGTCTTGAAGCACAGGGAAGTTCCAGTGCCAGTATTTAAAGAGAATAATCTCTGACAGGCCAGCTTGCTTCAGGCAAACTCACAGAAAGGCCAGTGCAGGCTGCAGCCATTTAAAGGCTTACAAGATAAGTGTGCAAAGTTCTATTAAAAACAGCCTTTAAAAAAAAAACCTCCTTGCATAGTATTTCAAAATTGGTTGAAAAGACACCTTACAAATTTGATTCTGAAAAATAATTACTAAGGCAATACTTTTAGGGTCATACTTCATTGCAGCTGGGCATACATGCACTCCTTCTCTCCTGGTGCTTAACATCACATGGCCCATAGTAAACTGAGCTATTATTTTCTCTGCACAACACTTTCTCATTCTGCTATAACTTGCACTATAGGATAACCTGCACTAGGATGACTAGGACATCAGATTGTCTGTAGACTTTCCCACTTTATTAAAAAAAGAAAAAGCAGTTCTTAGAACAGAAGAGTTTGAAAACTCTTGAGTGAATCCATCCTATCCCAGGACAGGATCTGTCTATGTCTGTATCAAACCTAGTGATATTTATCTAAACTGTTTTTAAAAACTTCCCACGATGGAAACTCCAAAACCTTGCCACAACCATAATTACCTGAAGACTTAATTCTCCTTAAAAATAAAAATTGTGGCCCAGCTGTTTCTTGCTGTATTTAAGCACAAGCCGCCTTCTATTATCCATCAATTGCCAAAGACCAGAAATCACACTTCTCTACATTTTATGAGGAAGGTCACAAATATAACTAGCTAGCAAAAAATATGGCAATAAAATACAGTTCTAAATATATTATGGACAAACCCAGCATTGTCTCCCTTTTCCTAGCTCACGAACCTCACTCCTACTGTAAATCTCAATCCTGCTTCTGAAGTAAACAGGACATCTCTACCACTCCTCAACCCAATAAAGATGGAAGTATTTGTTCTTTCTTACTGTGAAAGTAACTGTCTTTTCCAAACAGATAGCTACAATGAAATCAACAGGAGCACCTGCAATTTTCCACCAGGATCTTGGAATGTTGGAATACTCAAAACTTAAATGTTAATAAGTAAATATATATATCCTGATTGTGACACCACATATAATTGCTTTTGTCCTGTATTCATAAGCAACATTTGCTATCCCTTTCATGAGTGGTAGGACTGGCAACTTTTCTCTTCAAAATGCACCTACTGTTAGAAGTCTGCAGTGACTTCATTAAAAGTTATTTCCATAGCCACTAGGCTGTTTGCTTTTGAGTTACTAGTGGTTTCCCATGGAGCAGTAAGAACTCAAAATAGCTTAGCATGGGCCAAGCTCAGGCCACTGCCATCGGTTTTTCTAGAGTTAATGTCTATCAAAGGGTTTCCTAATGCTCTTACTAGGTTCCCTCTTTAGCTTATCTTCCGTGTCTTGATTGACAGTGGAACTAACTTGAATCAGCACTGGCTTTCTCTGGCCTACACACAATGCCTACGTCAGTCCCCGGACTCACTAGGCCTGTACAAACTATTGCAACCACCACCCCTCCTGGCTGACGAGTGTCTGGGACACAGGGCTGGCTGAGCCATCCTGCCCAGAGGGGACTCTGTTCACAGGAAGAGCAAGAATTTAAGTCTTGAAAGGCCTCAGCAAGCAGAATTTTCTTGTTGAGGAAAGCTTCAGCTGAGAGACCTCATTCCAGAAGTGAAACTCAACTATTTTAAACATTGTTAATAATTCACAGGTATGCAACAGAACATTACTTATTTTTTAACTAAAGTAGCCCAGAAGAGCACAGGCAACAAACTATTCATTTAGCCCCAGCTGAATCATCAGGAAGTATGCCCCAAGATGTCACTGTGCATTGTATAAATCACTGTTGGTACTGCAAATGTACCTGAATCAACATGAATGCGCAGATAAACTGCTCTGTACAGCTGTGCTGGTTTTGTTCAAACTGGTGTATTTGCTGCCTGCGTTACCATGACAAAGATTTAGCATAAAGTACTGAACAGATTATACGTATAGACTACGTTATAGCATCTTCCTGCATATTGCCTTCAGCTAGCTGAAGGTACAGCTGTTACGGTTGCAGCCACACCTTCTGGCTTTGGGGTACACATACAGCGCAGCACGAAACTACACACTTAGATCACTGCCACAATGGAGTGATGATTAATCCAGGATTGAGGGAATATACAATTCTGCTCTGCTAATTATTAGACACAGTTAATTACAAGGGTTTTCCCCTAATTGAAATTATTCTGTCACTTCACATATGAGGATTTAGCAAGGAAGAGCAGAAAGAGCAGCAGCACAGTAATCACTTGTAACAGTGAGTTGTGCCAGCTGTACAATGCTGCGTGCAGAGTTTATTCCTGAATCTCCCAAACTCCCCACAAAGGATAAGACCAAGTAATTTTCGTCTTGATACATATCATACCATCTAGCTCTTCTCAAATTTCAGGCTGCTTATTTCAAACTCTCATTTATCACAGATTTATTTGCTACTGTTCTCATTGACTGACTTTTTCTTCCCATAACTCTTAGGTAACATTAAAGCTACCTACTATCATACCTTCTTTAAACAGGTAGAAAGCAGATCTCTTTAGAACAATAAACAACCCTTGGTTTTGTATGATCTTATTTATGGTATAGAAGGTTAGCCTTGGACCTCTACTCATTTTTGATGCCACTGAGTACAATTCAGTGACTGTTGCCTCAACTTTCTAAACTAAACTTTGTTAGTTTAGCTCTCTAACATGCAGCATTTAAAACCATGTTCATGTATACATAAGCCACACTTTTCAGTAATGCTGAGTATCTAAAATTCAGCCACTTACATAATAAGGGGGTCTAACTTTATGTAGTTAAACTGAAGAAAAAAACCAAACAACAAAACCAGAACAAAATTCTCAGTGACTAGTGCCAACAAATTACAAATAGAACCACTGTACTACCCCTCCCCCTTTAATTATACACTTGTCTCTGATTTTCCATCAAGCCCCTGCAAGAAGTATAACCTGTAAAAATATTTGTAAAATGAGAAAATGAAACATTACAGATTTGAAAAATTGTACTGATCTGTATGTATACGTCTTGATGCAGCTAAGTGTATGGGAATTTTTATTCCAATTCTCAAGCCGTCAGACAAAACAGCTTCCCTGACAAATGCCCATTCTTCACTTTACACTCCAAACAATCAATATACAAATCAGTGGTCCTTCCCAAAACCACCTTTTGCATACTTCATCTCACTCACAAGTAGTGAATCATCGCAGATCCTTCCTAATATTGTTTGTTTATTCAGTCATGTTATAATAGCACCTAATGATACCGAATGAAATTGGTGCTTCATATAGCAAATGTCACCGTACCAAAGGTCTTAAAGCCTTAGGAGCTTATAATCAAAACTTTAAACTCTTTCAATATGGTTACTGGACAGAAGAAACTACAAAAAGCTGATAGAGAAAAAAACCAAACCATATCAGACTATATACTAAACACAACTTAGTCATTCTGAAATGCTTACACAAAGTCATTACAGCACAAAGTGCACTTGTCACTCCTCTGTCTGCAAAGCTTCCACAGAAGTGCTCATAGAGCAGAAGTTCCACATCCGATTTGATTATCTGCTACCATCACAAGGAGAAAACTATTTCTTATCACAGCTATACCAACAACTTTATGTTAGGCCATGCACAGATGTTTATACTGGTACTGATACAGAGATGGACAAGATACTGATAAGATACTGATGTTTAGCTGTTTAGACAAGCATTTCTTCCTCAATTGGCCATTCTTCATCCCTCCAGGAAAAACAGGCAGCTAGACCTTTCACTTTTTTCCAAATACTATTTTGGAGTAGTTTGCATAACGCTATTACCATTAACGTACCAGCTTAAAAGCACCTGCTATAGAGTAGCAATTCAACTTCCAGACACAACAAAATTGAAAAAAGAGAATAAAAAATGGACAACGTTCCAATGAGATCCTAGTAACAATATGAAAGTGATTGCTCCACAGATGATTACTAAAACCACAAAATACCTGGTGAATGATGGGTTATGGAGTCTGTAGAGAAAGGATAATTGGCTTTCATCTGCAGAACAACATCATCATACTTAATGCATTTCTGTATCTGAACCATTTTTGTCTTTACCTGCCTATAAGCTTTAAGGACATGGAGCTACCCGCAACAAATAGCTAAAGCTCCAGAAATGCTTTTGGATACTTCATGATAAACTGTCCCACAAAAAAGTAACCACATGTAACTTCAATGTATTTAAATGCATCATTTGGCTGTGCAGCCACATTGTATCATGGTAACTTCACTCCTCCTTATTTACATGGCCCCTGCTTGTTTGCCATATTGCAAGTCATTGTATCTGGAATTAAAGAAAGAAAAAGAAAGAAACAAACCAAAAAATTCAGGGCAAGTATTTCAACCTGTTTTGTAAAATGACTTCTAATATTTTGTGTATGGAGAAATTACAAAACTGTGAAGAAATCAGGAGAAAAATTATGAAGGATTACACATGAAGCACTTAGATCAATGATAGATTAAAAGAATCATTTGAGCAGAAAATCACAACTGACTGGCATGATATATAAGACTAGACAGTAAAAGAGTGAAGCAGTGAATGGAATCAACAGATGAAACTAGGAAATTCCTCCACTTGAGGAGTTAAAAACCACAATGCATGACAAAGACTGTTAACATGGGAGCCTGCAGCAGTAGATGGACTAAGACTTTACAAGTTTTCCAAATATATAGGAGAAAGCATAACGAGAAATGCTAATGCAACTTTATTTGGACTTGTACTCTAAGTACTCAGAGTGCAAGTTTACTTTTATTAATCTAGTAAATTGTGGCAATTAATTAGAGATCAGTTCCCTTTAAGTATAATATACAGTACTGGCAGAGTAATAGCAAACATAGCACATGTCACTGCAGTGCTGTAAATAGAATTTCTCTTGATTTGTGTTTCCAGTCTCCGCTCGGTATCACACAATTCTAAAATCACATCTCTTATGGCTGAAGCCTGGCCCTTGCTCTCCACTGAAGACCTTGGCATCACTCTTTCTGTAGGTCTAGAATGAACCGCAAGTTTAACACTCTGCATCTCAGAAATCATTTGCGCTAAACTTTCCTGCAAACTGTTAAACTGCTGTTGTAAACTCCCTAAACATGAAATGACTTGTTTAGTGTAGTTCAGCTGTTCATTTAAAGGAATTAAAAGAGAATCTATTTTTATGGAGTCATTCCTGTCTTCTCTACTTAACAAAGCGCCGCCTTTTATTTCCTGTGATGTCCTTGTTTGCAGCACATTTTTCAGGTCTGCTATGACGTCACTGAGATCCTTCTGCTGTAAGTAATGGCTGGAGGCCTGTTCTTTGATGGCTTCTTGCAAATTTATTGGGCCCTTTTGTGCTTCAAGCACCAAGACTTTCAGTTCTTGCAGCCTTACTCGATTAACATAGGTGGAACCAATAACACCTATAATGGCTCCCAGTACAGAACCAATAATAGACCAGTTCTTTGTTTTTTCAGCTCTTGTTCGCTCTTTCTCATGGCTTTCCCTTACAGCTGCAGAGAAAAGAGAGAATTTTTCTCTCTCAGATTCTTCTGCATTTAAATATGCAGCTCGGTACCTCTTCTCTTCCTGCAAGAAATACAGTGATTTGAAAGAGAAGGTGTAAGATGAAGCTATAAAGTCCATACTAAAAAAAAAAAAAAAAAAAAATCCCCCAAACCCCAGTGCAGATGAAGGAATGAAGAACATCCATTAATTCTGTTTCACAAATTTTCCTTTAAATGTGGGATTTTCTTTATTAATCCTACTTAAGTCAATGAGACATCATTTTAAGTCAAAAGTGAGAAATGGAAAAGGTCATCAGGAATTATAGCTGAAGATCCTCTAAACAAGAATCTGTCACATGCTGATGACAGGAAAGGGGCAGAGTGGGCAAGGCCTTTCTCTCCCCATAATGTATGCTTTTTCAGCCCTGTTTAATTCTCCAAACGCTACCTTTACCACACTTGTCCATCTCCGTTCTAAATCCCTTAAGTGGGAACTGAAAAACTAGGACTGGAAAGGATGTCTTGGATAGGTTCATCTCATGAATATACACCTTTCTTATTCCTTTGCATTCTTTTTCTTACCCTGCTCACAGACAAATGTCTTCCCTTTCTCCCTGCATCTCCCAGAATTATTCCCATTCTTCCGAGCAAGTATTTCTTTTTTCAGATAGCACCACCACCTTACAGACATTGGTGACTTCAGTTCCACCTTTCTTCATAGTGATGCAGAGCTCTATTCTTCTTTAAGTTTCATCCACACAGACCTGATCCCTTATTTAGACAACTACAGCTCTTGTGTTCTTTCCTGATGTTCTACCCACTGACACAGGAGCTCAGTTTAAATGCAGGCATTGGTACCCACTCCTTGCTTGAGCTTTGCCATAGGTGTACCTGCTTCCAGGCCTGTCTCCTGCTGTTCCTGCAGTTTCATCTGGATTTCCTGGATTGACTTTGGCTGCTACCTTGTCTTTATCTCTGATTGATGCACTGTTAATAAACACGTTCCTGTCACCAGTCCTGCTTAGCTCCTCCAGCTGAGGTTCTACAGGACTGTGTCCTGTTGCAAGGATACTGCTCCAGCCTACACTGTGGTCAACCTCATCTTCTTGCTTGCCCTCCCTCATGTAGCAGCCTCGCTCTCGCTGCTCTCTGACAAAAACTTTACTGAATTGCCTGGGTGTCGCAGCCACATAGAAGGCAGCTGAGAGAGTTCTCATGGATTAACAACCAGAAGGGAGCTTCTCTCATCACATGCAAGGTTAATTCATTGAATCCCAGCTTTTTGTTGACCACTCATGTACAGGTCACCACTCAACAACTAATTTTCTAGGCTCACTGTCTTCAGCTTTCTGCTCCAGATTTGCTACTCTATTTTAGCATTAACACACACAATTTGCATAGAAGATCAAACCATTGATAATAATTAACTAAAACAAGTATCATAAGAAATTAACTCTGATCACTGTACTTCAGAACTGAACTGCATCTACAAAAACAGTCACTAGTGACAGAAACAAAGCACACAAATTTTCATCATATTTACCAGTGCTCAAGTACCAACAAATTACCTGCAGCAACCTGTGTTCCAGGGTAGCCAGTTCTAAATACTGGGTGTCATCCCGAGAGACCCTGTCTAAGCGGTCCCGAATTTCCTTCAGTTTAATCTGTTGGGCTTCTACATTTTCACGAGCCTCTCGTACTATCCCTCGAGCTATCATAAAGACATTTTCAGCCTGAGAAGAAAGAGTATTTATTTTAGAGACTTTTTATCAGACAGATTTAAATCACTAATTGTATGAATTTGGGGGGGGGGGGGGGGGACCCCAAATAGTTGGGGGGGGGGGGGGAAAGCCTACAGAACAAACCACATTCACTTTCAATCTAAGGGATAAGCTATATTTACTAACATGCATAGACCACAACACATTTATAGTATCTGCACAGACAATCAAAGCAGGAAAAGACACATTTCTCCTTGGAGGATCTTTTTTTGCCTCACAGCCAGTGTTTATACTTCACATAGCTTAACTCCTAATTTTTAAATTTCTACATTATCTCCATGTTTACCTCTGTCACTTTTCCCTGAGCCTCCCGAACTTCATTAATTCCAACAAATTCTTCGTATCTGTCCCACCAATTCTTGCACGTTGCAGACATTTTTTGAAGGGAGTTTTTTCCCACAACGGTCCCAGCTTCTGTCAGCCGATTAAGAAGACCCATGGCCATTTCTATTGCAGACTTGGCTTCAGGCCTCTTAGGTGCTGATGAGCAGTAAGTCTGCACTATGTGTAAATTCACTTTTGGACTCCACTTTATCAACGAATGGTGATATTGCAGACCACAGGACACTGAGGACACACTTGACTTATATTTCATTGGCCCCATGTCTTGAATTTAATCACTGAATAAAAGTGCTACAAGGATGAAGAAGAAAAGTGATTGAAGTATGGCTGATTAATGCCTCTTAAAACTACACATGTGTACCAAAACAAATAAAATTCAAGAATGACTAAACCATTACTAGTTTTACACCATAACTTACCTAGAGAACTTTCCACAATTTTCAAAGGGCAGTTCTGCCACAGATTCCCACTTTTCTGTTGTTAGTAAGTACTCCCACCATGCTCCTTGATTACTACTTCGCTCACTGTGTGAATACTGATCATGTGCAGATCCAGGACCAGCAGGAGTAGCTTCAGAGTAATTTAATGCTTTTGCACAGAAGTGATTACCATATGAAATTTTGCCTCGTGCTTTCACATTTGAGCTTGGTGTACCATGTCACAGGTATTAACAATTCTGCAAAAGAACAGAAAAGGAAAACAGACAGAGAGGGGAAAAAAGTCTTCATAAAAAAAGAAGTAAGGCTTGATCATTCCCTTTATCTTACCCTCCACAGATACATGAATTGCGAAGAACGCAAAGACAAAAATATAAAGTACAGAGAGAAAACACAGAAGTGCTGAACTGAACACAACAAGTATTCTCATGAGGCTGCCTACAAAAGCAAAACATAAGGAAGAGCCACAAGATCAGAAAAATATCAAGTAGTGAACACACAGCTAGGGCTGCATTTTAAAATGAGCTTAAAATTCTTGTTTACTCTGCAAAAGTAGACTGCTAGCTATGGTTTATTGTCTGTTTGTCAATAAGATCTTAATTTTCTGCTGAGTACATTCCTCCCAAAACTGTAAACAGGAAAACTTTCAAATAAGGTTTTATATGAAGTTTGAGTATTAACTATATTAGGTTTTGACTAATGTAAAAACATGGATTATTGAGAAGGCTTGATAGCTGCTCCATAGTTTTCAAAAATTATTTCAAAACAGTTTTCCTTGTTAATTTTAGGTGGCTAATGACATCATATATGTACAAATACAGGCATCTCTACAGGGAACGATTCTTCCTACTGGAAGACATTTTTGATCAGCTTTTAGCTGGCTACTGATTCTGAACACCAGAGGTTCATTCCCTGTTATGCATTTCTAACAAATAGTAATAACACCAAGCAGTATTGTGAAAACTTACCAGTTGTTTTATATGCACAATAATATGGTGGGTCAAAACCACAAGAACATGGAAATGAAGTAAGTTCTCTCTCCTTCCAGCATTACTCATATGTCTTACCATTACACCACCTACTTTACATTGCAAGCCATGTACTAAAACCTCAGCTCAACTTTGTCCATTCTGGACTGTAAGATTTCCCTCTTTTAATTACACTATTATGTGAAGAGTTTCACCAAATATTCAGGCTATTGAGACAGTATAGCAAAGAAAGAAAGTTGAGATTTTTAGAAGAATTTCTATGTAGAGAGTTACAAAGAGACTGCAAAGAAAGTAATCTCAGTCTGAGCTAACAGGACATAAGACAGTTATGAAAGCTTCATCTGAGATAATGTGCCTTGTCACTCTCTTGTTTCCCCTTGTAAGAAAACGAGTTTCCTCTGCCTGCAGTCACTGACATATTCTTTCAAAAGGTTTACACCCCAGTTGCTACACACGCTGGACACTGGTGGCAGTAAGACTAGCTTTCACAGGTCCTATCTTGTTTCGCAGCAGTCTCTTTTACCACTGCCAAAAAGTAAAAGCAGAATTTCCGACACGCCACCATACATTTACTTCTCACTCTTGGGGCGGGGGGGAAAGTCTTTTCCGCACGCCCGACCCCTTCCCTGCCGGAGGGGGCCCTTTCACCGCACGCAGAGCTACTGGACGACGCTCCCGGCACCCTACAGCCCAGCACGGCGAGGCCGCTA